TCAGATGCCTTCTGCCAGATGAAGTTTGTATTGGAGGGAGGGGCCTTGTGTAACCACACCATCCCTATTTATGGCATTTCGTGCCTTGTAAATAGCACCGGGAGATGGAGAAGGGAATGTACATATATTTTCTAAGAAAAAAAATCTGTCACTTTCGGAACAGCTCTAGTGTCGCGCAGCCTGCTGGAGTCCGCAGATCTGTCAGACCATCAGCATGTACACTTTGCCAACAGATTGCCTCAATAATTACAAATAAAAGGGCTACTTATTTTCATCAGTGTCTGCATTTTAGCAAATCTTCATATTGTCTGCAACTTAATTTCCTTATGCAAAAGTACACCTGTTTCTAATTTGAACTGGGAGATGACATTTGTGCGCCCCTAAAATTTAACCTAGTGAGTGGCGCAGGGCCGGGCAGGGCCGGGCAGGGCCGGGCAAGGCAGGAGGAGACTGGTGGGTGTTTGTTTGTTTGTTTGTTTTGACTTAACGGGACAAGAAAGTAAGATAACCTGATCCAAGGATGGCGGCTTCCTGGGCCCAGCAGGGGACAGGCTCCCCTCTCTGCCCGCCTACCCCCCGCCCCTCAGAGGCCTGAACCCAACCGGGGGTTCTCCCTGCGCCCCAACTCCTGAGCTAGTGGAGGTTCCACTCAGGTGAGCTCCCCCTTTGAGCACCTGCAGTCGGCGTCGCTGCTCGGAGGGCGTGGTGGGCAGCAATGGGCAGCTGGGAGGGACACCGGCACTTTCCGGGGCCTTTTCTGTGCCAGCCACGCTCTATACGTTGTCTCGCCTCTCACATCAGCCCCGTGACGCAGGGGCATGGTCTCCAGTCTCCAGCCGGGAGCGGGGGCGGGGGCACGGTGCCAGGGCCCTGGCTGGGAAGGCCGAGATCTGGCCCCCTCCCCTCTCCCTGCCCAGGAGGAAGCCGTGCCCGTCATACCCGGCCCCGGCAGCCGGAGGAAGGGGCCTGGGCTGTTGGACGTGCTGGAGGCGCCCCTCGGACTAGATAGTGTTCTGACAGCTTCTCTGTGAAGAGAAGAGCCAGACAAATGTCCCCAGAGGAGACAGGAAGCCCCAGAGGACTTGCCTGAGGGGAGCGCTGCACAGGCCACGTGAGGTGAGTGCCCAGCGGCCCCTGCCCCCCAGACCCGCCCCCTCTCTGCCTCCCTCTGCCTCTCTCTCTGGAGAGGATGGAAGAAAATACAGAAAGGAGCCAGACAGTTGTGCCAACAGAACTCCTCCGTTGAGTGTCTAATTACTTACGATCATGCATGCTCGCTCTCCTGCTAAACATTTATTAATGTGTTAGGATTTCCATTAGCGCATTACTTGAACTGCCGTCATTTGCATATGGCTGGGAAAAAGAGGGGAGACGAAGAAAACAGCCCCCCCCCGCACCCCCACCCAACAGGCGTCAATCACAGTGACAGATCAGATGGTCTGTGGCTGGGGAGGGGGAGGGGCCGGCCCTAGCCGCCAGCGCCTCCTCTCAGCCAAGCTGCGGAAGTGAGGGTGTGCGTGCCAGGCTCTCCGCGGGCGCTGTGCTGGGGGGCCTGAGGCCGAGAAGCCCCCACCTCGGCTCCCTGAGGGCCGAAGGGAGCAGAACTCTTCCTGCTAGTCACATTTCATGCTCAGCGGCCTGCGGGGAAGGGCCACCGGGCTCGCCACTCTGGGCTTCCAAATACTTCACAAATACTGTTGAGCCAGAGCTCAGTCTCAGGCTGTCAGCACTGACCTCTGCTGCCTGGCCAGCCGGCCAGTCCTCGTTCCAGCGCTCCATTTCCCTGACCCCTGCGCTCTGACACGAGGACCCCTCATCCGTAGCAAGGAAGGCCCCCCGGGGTCCTGAGATGCCAGCTTCAGTGAGGGGAGACGGGGGCCTGCCGGAAGGAACACAACTTGGAAGTGGTTCAGGCTTCAGCTCGGTCCTGGACTCTGGACTCCACGCCGTTCCCATGGCTGTAGGAGGAAGAAAGGAAGAGGGGGATTAGGTGTCCCAGAGAGAGCGCTGGGTCAGACCTCATGTGGACCTCGCCATGGCTCGGTCTCAGCCAGCTGGGCGTCCCCAACTCCACCCTGCCCACCCCCCTCCGCCAGTTCCTGGGACCCTAAGTGCCTTCCACGGTGGCTGCTGCGTCTTTCCCTGGCCCGTGACCTGTTTGCCAATGGTGAGCCTCTGCCTGCGCCAGCCGGACCCTCGGAGCAGCAGCGGCAGTCGAGAGCTAGCGTCTAGCCACTGCTAGACCGGCTCTCACCCTATACTCCCAGCCTCCACCACCCCCCCAACCCCCCCACCCCCGACTCCAGGACAGCTTCGGGAGGGGGTTCTGATCACACGCCCACCACCACCCACCCCTGCCTGTCACCTTGGGCCCCAGCTGCCAGCCAGCTAGCACCTGACCCCAGCCTGTCCTCCCGTGCCCAGCAGGGTCCCAGCCCCTCCTCCCAGCTGGCTCTTCCTCTTGGGCCTTGGCCCAGCCTAGGATGGGGAGCCCCTGGGCTCCCCCTAGTCCACATCTTGCTCCTCGGGGCTCCATCAGCACAGGAACCGGGAGCAAATCCCTGGTCCCTCACGTCTTTCCCTTGCGCTGCTACCTGAAGCCAGAAGCTCCTTGAGGGCGAGGACTGCGTGGGACCCGGCTCAGGGTGGAGCACAGCGGGCTCAGAAAGTCCCCCTTAGTCACCCTTGCTCAGACCACACCCTCCTTTTGGCCTGACTGCGCTGACAGAAATGGGGCCTCAGAGGCCGAGCCCAGCCGGGCTCTGCAGCGTGGTCTCCCCTCTCAGCCTGACTGCTCGGTGCTGTCGGGTGTGTGTGTGGGGGGGGGGGTACCCCCAGGGCAGGGAGGAACGGGCGTGCAATGGGGGGAGGGGACCCCCAGGGCGGGGAGGAACGGGCGTGCAGTCCGTAAATGTTCACTGAGCTCCTGGTCTGTGAGTTCAGGCATAGCCTGACAGGACAGGCCTGGCGGTGAGGGGTGAGGAGACGAGCAAGCCCACTGCCGGCAGTGATCCCCACCCAGGGGAACACTAAGGCCGGGGTGCCGGCCCTGGTTTGTCAGTCGGCAGGGTGTGGGGAGGGGAGCTCCCCAAGGACAGGAGTCACGAGCTCAGTCCTGAATTCAGAATTCAAGGCCTGAACCCTGTCAGCCACGCTCACGGAGCTCTTAATGCACCCCCAAGAGAGCAGGAAGCTGAGGCGCATGTGAGGGTGGGGGCTGCCCGCACGCGCTGCCTGTGCTCGCTGGAGCCCAGGCTGGCGCTGGCTTGTCACGGGGCCGGGCAACTTGCTGCCACCTCGGCCTCAGTCTCCCCGCCGACACACTGCGACAGGGGACGCCGGAGTAGGGGCGTCTAGTGGCTTCTCAGGTCACTCTGAACAAAGTGATTTCTGTTGGTTCATTTTAATACTAATTTTTGTCACGCCTCACAGAATAGCGCTCCCTCACCCTTCTCCGTGACCTGGGGCGGGGGAGCAGCCGGAAGCCGGGGATGCCCACGAGGTAGCTGGGGTCTGTCCACTTGTTGCACAAGTAGGGAGGGACTGAGCGCCCACCACGAGCCAGGCCCAGCGGGAACAGGACAGACAAACCCCGCTCTGTCCAGGGAGGGCATTTGAGGTGCCTCTGCCTGTGCCGGGCACCACGCTGACTTGGCAGACCGTAGCCTGCCTGTGCGCCCCCATTCCAGCCTGGGTGATGGTCCAGATACCTGGGAACAGGCCAGAAGATAAACCGCCCCAGTCCAAGGCCATGTTGAATCCCATGCTCTGCCTTGCCCTCAGCACTGACTGGGCCAAATCCCTGGGTCAAGCCCCTCCCAACGTGAGACCTGGCACCCCGCCTGCCCAGCCACCCACCCTCTGTGCTCACCCCACCAACATGCATTTCCTCAGTCCTCCCTCCGTGTGCAAGCCTGGGGCAGTCGGGGGCACTTTTCTGAACACACAGACAGAGGTACTTCTCTGGCCAGTCTTGTTCGTAGCCCCAACCTCAGGGCCTTTGCACTTGCTGTTCCCGCTGCCGGGACGTCACCCACCAGATCTTGGCGTTTCTGGTTCCTCCCATCAGTGGTTCAGAGAAGGTTCAGCGAAGCTGTCCTGGGCTCCCTTGGATAGCTGTGCACTGCGGGTGGTTGAACTGCTCGGCCTTTCCTGTCGTTACCGGTTTCTTACTTGTTTTGGGCCCTCCCCACCCCCAAGGAATGATGCTTTCTGTGGATGCAAGCATGTCATTCTTGTCCACTGTGCTCCCCAAACTGAAGGCCTCTGTCCAGCGCTCGTCTGGACTACTACCTGGCGATGGTGAAGTGCTCCCTCCCCTCCGAGACCTCGCTCTGCCGCCGACACCCCCTCTCTGGGCTGGGCCTATTCCTCCCACATCAGAGTTTTCCTCAGCCCTAAGTCCCCCTGTTCGCAATCTCTGTATCCCCAGTGGCCTTCAAACAAATGTCTCATGGACGAGCGAGTGGGTGAATTTCAGTGGCCTCATGCATACTCGCTGGCTGCCACGCGGGGTGGCGGGATGCCCTGCCTCACGCGGCTAGCGAGCTGGCCGAGGTCAGTGCCCCGGGGCTGGCAGTGCCTTGGGGAGGTTAGGCAAGGGGCTGGGCAAGAAGCGGAGACAGTAACCGGCCTCCACCATCCCGGAGCTCGCGGTCTAGTCAGAGAAAGACCAAGTCGCTTCTAGTAAGCAGAGAGAAACGGGCCGGGGGCGCGAGGCCCAGGCCGCCAGGCTGAGGTGAGCTGACTTCTGGGGAACGGAGGAGTTGGGGGCAGCTTCCTGCCCTTTCCCAGGGCCTCCTGCACCTCCCCGTCCTGACCCCAGACTTCTGTGCGGAGTCACCTTGGCCCCTCCTGGAAGCCAATTAGGCCCCCAGTTGCAGCAGTGCGGATTACTCTGCTTAATAACGCCCCCAATCGCCCAGGTGCTGATTCAGACAGGGGCTTAGAGAAGGCAGGTCACTTTATAAGGGCCTGGGGGCGTCAGGCCTGGCCTCGACCAGCCAGAGCCCGGGAGGCGGCACTGCGGCCTCAGCAGCGTTCTTGGGTCTGAGCAGCCCGCGGGGCCGCCGCCATGAACGGGACGGAGGGCGAGAACTTCTACGTGCCCTTCTCCAACAAGTCAGGCGTGGTGCGCAGCCCCTTCGAGTACCCGCAGTACTACCTGGCCGAGCCCTGGCACTTCTCCATGCTGGCCGCCTACATGTTCCTGCTGATCGTGCTCGGCTTCCCCATCAACTTCCTCACGCTCTACGTCACGGTCCAGCACAAGAAGCTGCGCACGCCGCTCAACTACATCCTGCTCAACCTGGCCTTCGCCGACCTCTTCATGGTCTTCGGCGGCTTCACCACCACCCTCTACACCTCTCTGCACGGATACTTCATTTTCGGGCCCACGGGGTGTAACCTGGAGGGCTTCTTCGCCACCCTGGGCGGTAGGCGCCGAGTGGGCAGGGCCCCAGGAGCCAGGGGGCAGGATGGGTTGGCTCAGCCGCAGGCCGAGAAGCCTCTCCCGGCGGTCGGTGGTGCCACCAGACCCGCCCGTGCCCGCCAGCTGGGCTGCGTCTGCCAGGGCTCCCTGCGGGCGGCGTCCTTGTCTGGCTTTACGGCGAGGAGACGGGGTGAGAGAAGCCAGGCCTTGCTGAGGTCCCGCAGTGGCGGGGCCCAGCTGGGCATCAGGCCCCTTCGGACCACGCGCTGTCTGGGCAGCGGCTGCGCTGGTCAGTCTCTAGCCAGGGGCCGGGAGAGCTGGTCAGGAGGGGTCGCCGTGCTGCCGAGGGGCTCTGCCCCTCCTCCCGCGTCTCCCCGACATCCTCCCAGCCAACCTGCAGCCTGTTGCAAGACCCCAATGTGCAGTGATGAAGCCCCTTCCCTGGGAGGCGCGGAAGCTACTTGAAGAGCTGCACTCACTCAGTGTCCCTCTGGGGAAACTGACAGGGGTCCTGGGAGGTGCAGGTCCGGCCCAGCGGGTGGAAGCGAGGCATGGGGAGGGGAGACCTGTTAGGGAGGCCAGGGTCGTGACCAAAGCAGGGGCCTCCCAGCTTAGGTCTGGGGTGCAGGGCCCCTCAGGTCCTGCTGGCAAAGCCACGCTATTGGGAGCTCCCAGCCCCAGCCTCAGGATAGCTCTGTCTCCTTGTCTGCTCATGCTTCGGATGTGGCCTTGGCTCCATTCTGGGGATGCCCGGCCACTGTGTCCCCTTCAGTGACCACCCACAGTGTCTCAGAGCAGAAGGCAAGTGAATGGGGTCCCACACAGGCTGGCATTTCCCTGCAGGCAGGGTCCCCTTTATGACTATGTTCCCTAAATCACTACCAATGTCCCCTGCCAGCCTCAGAGGTGTCCTGGTTTGGCCAGCAGATTCTTCTTCTTTTTTTTAAATGAGTAATTTTTTTTTAAAGATTTTATTTATTTATGCAAACAGAACTGGGGTACAGACCAGAGGTGCAGGGGCTGTGAGAGGTTTCACCAGAGACAGAGTGGGGAGCTGAACAGGCAGATCGCTGAGGTACACTGCTGAGGGGAGCAGTGGGGAGACAGGAGAGGTCTGCTGCATCATGTGGGTCAGCTCCCTGGCTGGGGATCGAACTCGTGCTGAGGCGTCTGTGGCCAGCTTCTTCGCAGTGCTGAGCTTTAACCCCTTGCACCACCAGGGAGGGCCCTGGTCTCATGTTCTATGGCCAGGGGAGATGTCCGAATTTCACCACCTTTCCCTGCCTCACCTCTGGGCAGAGCTCCAGCCTGCAGCCTGGCCCCAGGAGAAGGGCGCAGGCAGTTTCATTTCCCAGAGGAGACAGGCCTCTGCCCTGGAGGGGCCGGGATCCCAGCCTCTGCCAGGACTTTCAACAGGAACTCTGACTGCCCCATAGAGGACAGCTTCTTCAGTAAGAAGGCCCTCCAGGGCTCCCAGGCCACCATGTCCCTACAGCTGACCGCCAGTCCCGCAGGAAGCGGGGCTGCCATGGAGCGAAGCTCCCACCAGCACCCCGTCCTCCACCTCTCGCGTCCAAGCTTTTCTGTCCCCTTGGCCTGGCTCAGACCCGCCCCAGGCTGCCGGCCACTGCCCTCCTCCCTCTGGCAGGGCGCCCTCCCAGCAGGGCAGGCGTGGCCTGGTGACCGACTGCCGACTGCCTTGCAGGTGAAATCGCCCTGTGGTCCTTGGTGGTCCTGGCCATCGAGCGGTACGTGGTGGTGTGTAAGCCCATGAGCAACTTCCGCTTCGGGGAGAACCACGCCATCATGGGCGTCGCCTGCACCTGGGTCATGGCGCTGGCCTGCGCCGCACCGCCCCTCGTCGGCTGGTCCAGGTAATGGCACTGGGCTTGGACGGGAAGGGGGGTCTGCATAGGCCCCTGCCGGGACCCCAGCTCGTACACGCTGCCCCAAGTGCCCACCCTGGAAACTCTCCTGGGGCAGGGACCTGGGCTGGGCTGCGGCAGAGGGCGTCAGTCCAGACACTG